AATATTGAAAAATATATTATTAGTATATATAAAATTAAATTAAAATTAAATAATTAATTCAAATTGAATTCAATATGATAAGGAAACGAAATTTAAATATATCTTACATTGCCGAAGTTTCAGCGGCTGATGACGGTACTGTAAAAACTGAACCTGCACTTTGGTTAGAAACCTCAGTATACATTCTACAAAATAAAAAAAAATAAATAAAAAAAAATGTGTATATTCTAATAAAAAACAAAAAGATTAAATAAAATTATAATTTTTAAAAATGCATTAATTAAGTAAGCATAAATTTATATTAGCTTTAAAATATCTGTCTTTAGTTAGGTAAAGGAAGATTATCAGGAAGTTGTATTGGATTTATTCTAGAAGATATAGGTATGGACAAAGTAGATGTATGTCTGTGACAAACCATGCTCTTCTTCTTCAGTAATTATTTTTCAATGAATAAGAATAAATATTATTTATATGAATTAAGAAGCATTTGAAAATAAATAGAACTTCTTCAAAATAAATAAAAGTATTTTTAATTTAAAGAATAATGAACTAAATATTGAAAAATATATTATTAGTATATATAAAATTAAATTAAAATTTAATAATTAATTCAAATTGAATTCAATATGATAAGGAAACGAAATTTAAATATATCTTACATTGCCGAAGTTTCAGCGGCTGATGACGGTACTGTAAAAACTGAACCTGCACTTTGGTTAGAAACCTCAGTATACATTCTACAAAATAAAAAAAAATAAATAAAAAAAAATGTGTATATTCTAATAAAAAACAAAAAGATTAAATAAAATTATAATTTTTAAAAATGCATTAATTAAGTAAGCATAAATTTATATTAGCTTTAAAATATATGTCTTTAGTTAGGTAAAGGAAGATTATCAGGAATTTGTATTGGATTTATTCTAGAAGATATAGGTATGGGCAAAGTAGATGTATGTCTGTGACAAACCATGCTCTTCCTCTTCAATTAATTATTTTTCAATGAATAAGAACAAATATTATTTATATGAAATTAGAAGCATTTGAAAATAAATAGAACTTCTTCAAAATAAATAAAAGTAGTTTTAATTTAAAGAATAATGAACTAAATATTGAAAAATATATTATTAGTATATATAAAATTAAATTAAAATTTAATAATTAATTCAAATTGAATTCAATATGATAAGGAAACGAAATTTAAATATATCTTACATTGCCGGAGTTTCAGCGGCTGATGACGGTACTGCAAAAACTGAACCTGTACTTTGGTTAGAAACCTCAGTATACATTCTACAAAATTAAAAAAAAAATAAATAAAAAAAAATGTGTACATTCTAATAAAAAAGAAAAAATTAAATAAAATCATAATTTGTAAAAATGCATTAATTAAGTAAGCATAAATTTATATTAGCTTTAAAATATATGTCTTTAGTTAGGTAAAGGAAGATTATCAGGAATTTGTATTGGATTTATTCTAAAAGATATAGGTATGGGCAAAGTAGATGTATGTCTGTGACAAACCATGCTCTTCCTCTTCAGTTAATTATTTTTCATTGAATAAGAACAAATATTATTTATATGAAATTAGAAGCATTTGAAAATAAATAGAACTTCTTCAAAATAAATAAAAGTAGTTTTAATTTAAAGAATAATGAACTAAATATTGAAAAATATATTATTAGTATATATAAAATTAAATTAAAATTTAATAATTAATTCAAATTGAATTCAATATGATAAGGAAACGAAATTTAAATATATCTTACGTTGCCGGAGTTTCAGCGGCTGATGACGGTACTGCAAAAACTGAACCTGTACTTTGGTCAGAAACCTCAGTATACATTCTACAAAATTAAAAAAAAAATTAATAAAAAAAAATGTGTATATTCTAATAAAAAACAAAAAGATTAAATAAAATTGTAATTTTTAAAAATGTAGTAATTAAGTAAGTATAAATTTATATTAGCTTTAAAATATCTGTCTTTAATTAGGTAAAGGAAGATTGTCAGGAATTTGTGTTGGATTTATTCTAGAAGATATAGGTATGGGCAAAGTAGATGTATGTCTGTGACAAACCATGCTCTTCCTCTTCAGTTAATTATTTTTCAATGAATAAGAACAAATATTATTTGTATGAAATTAGAAGCATTTGAAAATAAATAGAACTTCTTCAAAATAAATAAAAGTAGTTTTAATTTAAAGAATAATGAACTAAATATTGTAAAATATATTATTAGTATATATAAAATTAAATTAAAATTTAATAATTAATTCAAATTGAATTCAATATGATAAGGAAACGAAATTTAAATATATCTTACATTGCCGGAGTTTCAGCGGCTGATGACGGTACTGCAAAAACTGAACCTGTACTTTGGTTAGAAACCTCAGTATACATTCAACAAAATTAAAAAAAAAATAAATAAAAAAAAATGTGTACATTCTAATAAAAAAGAAAAAATTAAATAAAATCATAATTTGTAAAAATGCATTAATTAAGTAAGCATAAATTTATATTAGCTTTAAAATATATGTCTTTAGTTAGGTAAAGGAAGATTATCAGGAATTTGTATTGGATTTATTCTAAAAGATATAGGTATGGGCAAAGTAGATGTATGTCTGTGACAAACCATGCTCTTCCTCTTCAGTTAATTATTTTTCATTGAATAAGAACAAATATTATTTATATGAAATTAGAAGCATTTGAAAATAAATAGAACTTCTTCAAAATAAATAAAAGTAGTTTTAATTTAAAGAATAATGAACTAAATATTGTAAAATATATTATTAGTATACATAAAATTAAATTAAAATTTAATAATTAATTCAAATTGAATTCAATATGATAAGGAAACGAAATTTAAATATATCTTACATTGCCGGAGTTTCAGCGGCTGATGACGGTACTGTAAAAACTGAACCTGCACTTTGGTCAGAAACCTCAGTATACATTCTACAAAATTAAAAAAAAAATTAATAAAAAAAAATGTGTATATTCTAATAAAAAACAAAAAGATTAAATAAAATTATAATTTTTAAAAATGCATTAATTAAGTAAGCATAAATTTATATTAGCTTTAAAATATATGTCTTTAGTTAGGTAAAGGAAGATTATCAGGAATTTGTATTGGATTTATTCTAAAAGATATAGGTATGGGCAAAGTAGATGTATGTCTGTGACAAACCATGCTCTTCCTCTTCAGTTAATTATTTTTCAATGAATAAGAACAAATATTATTTATATGAAATTAGAAGCATTTGAAAATAAATAGAACTTCTTCAAAATAAATAAAAGTAGTTTTAATTTAAAGAATAATGAACTAAATATTGAAAAATATATTATTAGTATATATAAAATTAAATTAAAATTTAATAATTAATTCAAATTGAATTCAATATGATAAGGAAACGAAATTTAAATATATCTTACGTTGCCGGAGTTTCAGCGGCTGATGACGGTACTGCAAAAACTGAACCTGTACTTTGGTCAGAAACCTCAGTATACATTCTACAAAATTAAAAAAAAAATTAATAAAAAAAAATGTGTATATTCTAATAAAAAACAAAAAGATTAAATAAAATTGTAATTTTTAAAAATGTAGTAATTAAGTAAGTATAAATTTATATTAGCTTTAAAATATCTGTCTTTAATTAGGTAAAGGAAGATTGTCAGGAATTTGTGTTGGATTTATTCTAGAAGATATAGGTATGGGCAAAGTAGATGTATGTCTGTGACAAACCATGCTCTTCCTCTTCAGTTAATTATTTTTCAATGAATAAGAACAAATATTATTTATATGAAATTAGAAGCATTTGAAAATAAATAGAACTTCTTCAAAATAAATAAAAGTAGTTTTAATTTAAAGACTTTTAAACTGAATATTGAAAAATATATTATTAGTATATATAAAATTAAATTAAAATTAAATAATTAATTCAAATTGAATTCAATATGATAAGGAAACGAAATTTAAATATATCTTACATTGCCGAAGTTTCAGCGGCTGATGACGGTACTGTAAAAACTGAACCTGCACTTTGGTCAGAAACCTCAGTATACATTCTACAAAATAAAAAAAAATAAATAAAAAAAAATATGTGTACATTCTAATAAAAATAAAAAAAATTAAATAAAATTATAATTTTTAAAAATGCATTAATTAAGTAAGCATAAATTTATATTAGCTTTAAAATATCTGTCTTTAGTTAGGTAAAGGAAGATTATCAGGAATTTGTATTGGATTTATTCTAGAAGATATAGGTATGGGCAAAGTAGATGTATGTCTGTGACAAACCATGCTCTTCCTCTTCAGTTAATTATTTTTCAATGAATAAGAACAAATATTATTTGTATGAAATTAGAAGCATTTGAAAATAAATAGAACTTCTTCAAAATAAATAAAAGTAGTTTTAATTTAAAGAATAATGAACTAAATATTGTAAAATATATTATTAGTATATATAAAATTAAATTAAAATTTAATAATTAATTCAAATTGAATTCAATATGATAAGGAAACGAAATTTAAATATATCTTACATTGCCGGAGTTTCAGCGGCTGATGACGGTACTGTAAAAACTGAACCTGTACTTTGGTTAGAAACCTCAGTATACATTCTACAAAATAAAAAAAAAATAAATAAAAAAAAATGTGTACATTCTAATAAAAAACAAAAAATTAAATAAAATCATAATTTGTAAAAATGCATTAATTAAGTAAGCATAAATTTATATTAGCTTTAAAATATATGTCTTTAGTTAGGTAAAGGAAGATTATCAGGAATTTGTATTGGATTTATTCTAAAAGATATAGGTATGGGCAAAGTAGATGTATGTCTGTGACAAACCATGCTCTTCCTCTTCAGTTAATTATTTTTCATTGAATAAGAACAAATATTATTTATATGAAATTAGAAGCATTTGAAAATAAATAGAACTTCTTCAAAATAAATAAAAGCAGTTTTAATTTAAAGAATAATGAACTAAATATTGAAAAATATATTATTAGTATATATAAAATTAAATTAAAATTAAATAATTAATTCAAATTGAATTCAATATGATAAGGAAACGAAATTTAAATATATCTTACATTGCCGAAGTTTCAGCGGCTGATGACGGTACTGTAAAAACTGAACCTGCACTTTGGTCAGAAACCTCAGTATACATTCTACAAAATAAAAAAAAATAAATAAAAAAAAATATGTGTACATTCTAATAAAAATAAAAAAAATTAAATAAAATTATGATTTAAAAATGGATTAATTAAGTAAGCATAAATTTATATTACTTTAAAAATATATGGTCTTTAGTTAGGTAAAGAAGATTATCAGGAAGTGATTGATTTATTCTAGAAGATATTGGTATGAACAAAGTAGATGTATGTCTGTGACAAACCAATGCTCTTCTTCTTTCAGTTAATTATTTTTCAATGAATAAATAAATATTATTTATATGAATTAAGAAGCATTTGAAAATAAATAGAACTTCTTCAAAATAAATAAAAGTATTTTTAATTTAAAGAATAATGAACTAAATATTGAAAAATATATTATTAGTATATATAAAATTAAGTTAAAATTAAATAATTAATTCAAATTGAATTCAATATGATAAGGAAACGAAATTTAAATATATCTTACATTGCCGGAGTTTCAGCGGCTGATGACGGTACTGTAAAAACTGAACCTGTACTTTGGTCAGAAACTTCAGTATACATTCTACAAAATAAAAAAAAATAATTAAAAACAATATGTGTACATTCCAATAAAAAAGAAAAAATTAAATAAAATTATAATTTTTAAAAATGTCGTAATTAAGTAAGTATAAATTTATATTAGCTTTAAAATATCTGTCTTTAGTTAGGTAAAGGAAGATTATCAGGAAGTTGTATTGGATTTATTCTAGAAGATATAGGTATGGACAAAGTAGATGTATGTCTGTGACAAACCATGCTCTTCTTCTTCAGTTAATTATTTTTCAATGAATAAGAATAAATATTATTTATATGAATTAAGAAGCATTTGAAAATAAATAGAACTTCTTCAAAATAAATAAAAGTATTTTTAATTTTAAGAATAATGAACTAAATATTGAAAAATATATTATTAGTATATATAAAATTAAGTTAAAATTAAATAATTAATTCAAATTGAATTCAATATGATAAGGAAACGAAATTTAAATATATCTTACATTGCCGGAGTTTCAGCGGCTGATGACGGTACTGTAAAAACTGAACCTGTACTTTGGTCAGAAACCTCAGTATATATTCTACAAAATAAAAAAAAATAAATAAAAACAATATGTGTACATTCCAATAAAAAAGAAAAAATTAAATAAAATTATAATTTTTAAAAATGTCGTAATTAAGTAAGTATAAATTTATATTAGCTTTAAAATATCTGTCTTTAGTTAGGTAAAGGAAGATTATCAGGAAGTTGTATTGGATTTATTCTAGAAGATATTGGTATGGACAAAGTAGATGTATGTCTGTGACAAACCATGCTGTTCTTCTTCAGTTAATTATTTTTCAATGAATAAGAATAAATATTATTTATATGAATTAAGAAGCATTTGAAAATAAATAGAACTTCTTCAAAATAAATAAAAGTATTTTTAATTTTAAGAATAATGAACTAAATATTGAAAAATATGTTATTAGTATATATAAAATTAAGTTAAAATTAAATAATTAATTCAAATTGAATTCAATATGATAAGGAAACGAAATTTAAATATATCTTACATTGCCGGAGTTTCAGCGGCTGATGACGGTACTGTAAAAACTGAACCTGTACTTTGGTCAGAAGCTTGAGTATCCATTCTACAAAATAAAAAAAATAATAATAAAAAAAAAAAATCTATGTACACTGTATTAAAAATAATAATAATAAATATACACAAAATTTTAATTTTCAAATATGTAATTAAATAAATTTGAACTTGTTTTAATTTTAAAATAATTAACTACAGTTATGATAACGAAAATTGTCATGAAGTTTCAAGAGGATGAAAACGATTCGAAGTTAGATGTTAAGTTAAATTATAATGGAGTTAGTGTTCTATAAAACAGCTCTAAAATGAAACTAAATATGCGGAGAATACATTGTTACTGATACTATTACTACTATCATGCTTAGTATTACTCAAAGGAGGTAATATATTTTAACAGAAAAATACTGTTTACCTGTAAAATAAGGCAAAAATTTCTAGAAGAGTGTAATCCATGTTCATTAACAGCACCACTGGTTACCTCAGATCTTATATCCTGAAAAAGCATCGGCACCCTAAAGCCTAATGGATTAATTCATGAGTTCTCTTCAAGGGATTGCAAATTTTTGTTGGAAAAAGCAGTACTTTTAGCTTGCTTTAAGAGAAACCTATTACCAAACGGTGCGCGGTAAAAGGAACATTTCTAAATTTAAAATGTTTATAAATAACAAAGTTTATATAAACGAAAAATTTGCAAGTAATTGTAAACAATGCTAAATTTTCGGGTTGTTGAAAATATGCAAAAAAAAAAGGAAGGTTACATTTTGAGCCAGAATAATTTATTATTTGACAATAAGTACATTCAGTACCAATAGCTTGTGAATATAAATTTCATATGTATTAAATAGACTCAATATTGACATAAAATTTGATATATAAATTCTTGATTGGTGAATACTTTTCAGTTATGTGTATGTATATATATCTGTATCGGGTAGTGGTTTTGTATGTATACTGTTTATTTTAATAAATATTGAAAATTAAACCTTTGCACATACTAATTTCCATTTTTATTATTTTAATTTTAAATTATGAAATTAATTAATTTTATATATAATTTTATTTAAAATACAAATATTCTCAACTTAAGCAAATAATAAAGTAATTAGTTCCATAAATTTTAATTATGAAATTAATAAATATCAACTAATTGTTATTACTTTAACTTAAAATTTAACAAAAGTAAAAATTTATAAAATTTTTAATTAAAAATTCGTAATATGAGTGATAAAAAATATTAAAACTAAAATAATTTAAGATATTCATATATATGAATTCAACAAATTCCATATCCTACTAATATATTTTCAATGAAAATGAAGACGAAAATGAAAATAAAAAAAAATTTAATGGCAAAAAAGAAAATTTAATTAAAATTCCCGATATAGTTTGACATTTTGGCACAGAAACGAATTTCTCTTTGACGTCATTAAAAACAAAAAAAGTCCCGTCCCGTTTGTGAATGACAAACAATAATTATAGTTAAATTTCGTTAGATTAAATATTTTAATAATAACTACTAGTACTTATTAGGAAAAAAAAATAAGCATGACAATACAATGATCGCTTGGAACTTTTTTTGATTAATTTTTGGTTAAATTAATAATTTATTATACTCACCTGAGTCCAAAAATTTCTAGAAACTGAAGATATCACAGATTCTTTCATATTTTTTGTATAATTATTTTTTTTAAAAGAGTTTTGCAATTTAATTTTAAAGTTGAATATTATTTTATATATAAAACATAAATTTACTAGAAAAAATTTATTTCTAAAAAGTTATTTGGATTGGATCTTACTGCGCTTGAAATCAGCACAAAGGGATATAGGTTTTTGTGAGGGGATGAAAGCGAATATAAATTAATGTTAACACCATAATGCTATCATTTTCGAAGTTTTTGATTTTTATTTGCATTTTATAGTTAATACCACATAAACGATACCATTAGAGATCGCGTAGATACTTTATTGGCAATTGAAATTTAGTTTTTAAACAACTTAAGACAAAAAAAATTGGTTTTATATTATAAACTGAACATTTCACTAAGATATTCAATCATCTTAAAGTATATGAATAGATTAGAAAAATGTGTTATTTCTATTATTTTTTTTTCACTTAAATAAATCATGTATTAGTACATATACATTGTCTCATGTCTAATACAAATTTTATAAACTTATATTGACTTCACTTAATAACACATCAAACAAAAAAAATTAAATATATAATTGATATATTAAATAATTTATTTTCATTTTATGTATCAATTTAATACTTAATTAATAAAGACTAAAATTTTATTAAGTATTATTAAGTCTTTATTTTTAAAGGTTACACTCTATAATTTTTACTTTAAATAAGCTGATTTATTGACAATAAGCTCATTTATATGAAAGCACTTTATATGATGATTTATGAGTGCCCATAAAGAGCAAAACCGTCTATATGACGGTTCAGTTAGTCGATACGTACCGTAAGAACTTAAGCGAGTTTACGCCCAAACGATATGCACAACCAATCATACGTATGTTAAACAAACGAAATATGAACACAGTTTAAAAATCATTGTATCTTTCAATTTATGTTTGAAGCAGTAATTTTTGTAAGTAAATAATGTTAAATAATATTATAATAATATATAGTAATAATATTAATAATAAAAATTGAATTTAATAATATATACTGCTAATTAAAAGTTCTTTTTAAAATAATAAAGACGCTATTTAATCGACACAAAACAATAAAATACATTTAAGGCGGCAATATTGACACAGTTTCAAGATCATTGAGTTTTCATTTTCCAGAATGCATTAAAAGAAATTAGTTCTTAATCCATTACATTAATTAATTACTTATAATATCAAATAGAATTTAACTATTCTAATTAAATTCCTTTTAAGAAATACAAACGTTATTTAATCTCGAAGAAAAACAACAATAACATATTTAAGGCGAAAGTATTGATACAGTTTGAAAATGATTGCATTCTTATGTTCTTTTGAAAAGAAAAACACTTTCAACTAAATTCCCTTTAAAATGCTTAAGACCCCATTTAGCCTAGAACAACAATAATACATTCAATGCGTAAACCCATAAAATTTTCTTTTTAATAAATTATATTAATTAATCATTAATAATATTAAACGAAATTTTACAATTCTCATAAGATTTCTTTTGAAATATATTGGACGCCAAAGCGATAATTTAGTCTACACAAAACAAAAACTGCACATTTGAGCGGCCATATTGGTTTATACAATCGGACGCCATTTGAGCGCAAACTTTCCAAGAAATCTATTTTCATTTCTATTAAGAACCGAACACTTTCTTCAGCAAACGTTTAATATAAAAAAATTTTATATATAGTTTTATTTCCATTTCAACTAAATATATTTTGTAATCCTAAATCTTGGAAGTTTCGTAGTTAAAATACTTAACGACTCACCTTAGCACACGAAACGAAATTTTTTTTATATAAAAATTTTATATATAATAATATATAAAAAATAAAATCACACTTTTGATGTAAATTAAATTAAATTTTCTTCAATTTGAAAAAAAAAAAACACTACGTTCGGATTATATAGAAACTTTTAGATTGATAAAAATTGCGCGAACTCATCCGATGTAATACGTATAGCTTGACTTCGCGTATAAGAAGGATGTTAAGTTCGTCAAATCTTAAGTTGGTTGTTGTTTAGTAATCAGGGTTGCTATAATAAACTTACACAGTTGATATTACGTGAACAGCAAATGTAACATATGTGACGTACACATAATTAATAATAACATAATTCAAGGAAATGCTTAATTTAAACGGTGCAATAAGGTCCCCCACTATATATGGGTCCCGAACTATATATAGACGGTAACTTAATCATTTAAAGTAAGACAATTTAAAATTTGTTCTAATATTATAAATATGCGTTTTAATATAATCAAGGATAATATACAAAATATTATACCATATTAGAGAAGTGTACTAACCATCAAGGCTAAGCGATAGTGTTAAACTTAATTGTTTAATAATAAAAAAAATATAATAATTATATATAGTAATTATATTGTTTATTAGATATTATTTCTTTCACACAGTTTTCTCTAATATTCGCCTTTTTTTGGTTTCTAAGAAGAAGTGCCTGCTACTTAAACATTGATACTAATAACGTTACGGACATTAATTAGAACGAGTCCAGCTAATTTTTCATTATTTGTTTCTGTTGCCGTTAAAAAACTTGTGCTCTATTAAAACGAGAAAATCTTCTTACTAGTATAGTAATATCTATCCTATAATACCATCTATCCTATACTATTACTTACTATAATATTTATATTATAGTGATATTAGTGCTGTATTGTGTTTCAAGAACTAGCAAGAAAAGTAAACTAAAGTAACAACACGATCTTGATACAACTGATATCGTAGATCGGTGTTAAGATATCGTGTAACAATAGAAGCAGAATTAAAACTTTTTCAAACTTAAGTAAATTTAATAAATTATTATAATGCTTCAATGTAGTTGACCCTCTGTGGATTTACGTAGGTTTACCTTGGCTACAGTTTGACAAACTTATGATTAATTTTATATATATAAAATCTTTAATGGATTTAAAACTAAAAATAGCTATATACACACATTGATAAAAAGTTTTTATTTAAAGCCTTCAAATTCATTCCACACAACCTTCTGTAAGTCCTCTTACATATTGTGTTCCTTTAATAATTTTTTCTGAAATCCTACCAAGCAGTACACATGTCGTATACCTACTTTACCCGAAAGCCTAGTCAAGCAGCAAAAATACGTAATGAAGAAGAAAAATCTCTACTTTTGATAAAACACAAAAAACAAAAATGTGAACTTATATGTACTAGATACTATATACTATATACTCATACATAAGTTGTTATTTATAGGCATTTGTATATACATATTTATACATGTAAATATGTATTTTGTTTTTGTGGAAAACTTTTTCTTGTTTTATGTTTTCCTTAATGATATACTTTGTTGATTACAACGGAGCACAGAACACATTCCCAACACTTTTTGAACAAATGCTCTAAGTAATGTTTATGTACTAGCAACACATGAGTTATGGACACAATATGTGATGTGAATTAAAAATTCTTTTGTAAGTTTTGTTTTCTTTAATAAAATCCTTGGTCTTATTTTTGGACTGTTTTCCTATTTTTTATTATTATTCCATTTAAACAAAATTTAATAATCACACATGTTTATGCACAAACATGTATGGTTCATGCGACAACACTAGTTTTACTTGCACGACGTATTTGTTCTGTAAATTAATTCGGAAAGAAAAAAAATTAGATTTAAAAAAAATGGACTAAAAAAACAAAAACTAACTCAATAAAAAGGATTTCAAGAATGGGTTTTTGAAAAAAAAATCATCATTTTAGCCAACATAGAAAATCAAGTAAAAATACTGCCAAGTATAAAAGCTCCTCACAAATGTGTCTGCATAAGTTATTCTATGCGGCAGTTTATTTATGTAGCCGGATGTGCCGACACAATGACCACCCATCCGGTCATCATATGAGACTTATATACATATGTTACTTTATATCTTTTATACTTATATACTCTTTGTTGTTGTTGTTGTTGTTAGTCTCTTCTACTAGACAACCACTACATCATTAAGCGCAGTAAAGCAGATAATAAGGACATTTCAATGAAAGGGCGTTGCAACAGACATACGAACTCACATATGTGACATAGATTTAAGAAAGCATTTGAGACTTTTAACCGAGTAGATGGATGGGTTACTTCAGAAACATAAGCACGAGAAAAATATTTTTTTTTTTTTTTGGTTTGTCCCTAACTATTTTTATAGTAATTTATCTCCTTTTGGTTTATTCCTCACATTCATCACGTACTTTTTTAATCATTTAGCGCTCGGAAAGTAAACACTTTATATGTCATCATAGTTTCTGTCAGTTCTAATTGATTAAAAATAATATATGTTTAACAATTGTACCCTTTTTTTATTTTATTATTATTTATATTCGTATTTTCTTTTCTTTTTGTTAAACTAATTCAACCTTGTTAGACAAATTGTACGAATCCTTTTCCTCTCTAATATTGGAGTAAATATGTGATGGACACATTTGGAGAGTTAACTTAAATCTGATAATTTAATCGTAACCTTTTTCATCTCTGAAAATAAATGAAGAAGGGAAGGAACATCAAGTGAAAAATGGTTAAGAAAACTGCAAACTTCAAATGAAATAAATTTTTTTTTTGTTTAATATATTAGAGGTATTTTTAGTAGGCATATTGCTTCATCACTGCTCAATAAACAAATAGTTAACAACTAAAATGTCAGCAAACACTATATTTATTTCATTTGGCAAATCATGATTCAAAGGCTTATGTCCGAGCAACGTTTTTAAATGATTTTCCTACTCATAAGTACCCAAAATAAATATTTAGCAAAATAAATATATGGATTATCATAAGGCTTTAAGACTTACTTTCAAAGGCTATGAGCTAAAGAGTCAAAGACTAAGACTTAAAGGTTTATCTCCAATCAGTATTTTTAAATGATTTCACTACTTGTATGTATCTAAAATAAATATTTAGACTCACTACTCAGTTATTCCTTAGATAGGCTATTTAGAGTTAAATGTCTTCGTTTATAAGCAATATTAAACGTGTGGTTAAACATCTTATGGATGGCTTATAGTTCCAACGTGATCACTGTTTTTCAATATAGGGCGTAAATTATCTATGTGAGCAATTTAATAATTAAAGGTTTTCGTCAGTAGTCTTCAAAATACAATTTCAAGCAATGAAAAATATTTCACATGTTGCTAAAAATCTTATGGACGGCTTTTAGTTTCAATTAGATGAGTGGACAATTTAGTAGTTCAAGAGTGCTGATCTTGTTAATTCAGCTAATGTGCAAATTATGGTAAGATAGAGGGGAATGGAGTACTTTGCTAATACAGGAGAGCAAATTTGAAGCGGATTTGTACCTGAATTGATCCAATCAACTTTAGAGTGATAAAACAATACATATTGATTTAAGTCACAGCGGTTGTGTTAGGTCATTTTATCGTTTCATGGACTTTGGAAACGTGAACAGATCACAAAAGTAAATGTGAACACAAAACTAAGACTTCATGTTTCTAATCATATACAATTCAATATTTTTAAATTTTTTTTATTTTTTTCTAACTTAAACTTAAAAAAAAAATTTCTTTATGTATGCATAAGTGGGTATAGGTATTATTGAGTTAAGTTTTACTTGGTCGTACAGATTTGGTCGTACAACTTGTACAACCTCTTTTGCTATTAGACATTCGACACGAGCGACATAATTTTAAGCGACATTTAAATGATGTTTTAGCTTCTATGACTTCAAACAGAATGAAATTTTGTATGTAAGCCGACAAAAACCCGATTGTACACGAAACAACACGAGCAAATTTAACGAAAAATCAAAATATTTTTATGTCCATCCAACTTGCCGTCCATCCAACAGATCTACAATTATTGCTTTTACACATTAGACTTGGTACAAATTTTGCATATGAACACACAAGTTATACGACCAAATCTGATGTGTAAAACATTCTTTATGCCCCATATGTTATATTGACAGAAAACTGTTCTGAATAATTGAATATTCATGTGTTTATAAATAATAATATAAAGAAAATAAACTCGTAGTCGTCGAATCACTATATATTGTCTTCAGATATTGAGCTACGCTATGATTTCCTATTTTTGGGTTATTTTATTCATTTTTTTAAGGTACTTGAAGTTATTATTATTATAAAGGAGTAACGATTCCTATATTATAAGAGAGGAATGAGTGCGTTATACGTGGGATACAAACAGGATGGTTAGTTAATTTTAATACCAACAGAGCTTTGTACTCTGTATAAGTGACGCATAATTTTCGCATAATTTAATTTTCTCATATAACTTTAGATAACCAATCTGAAACCAATCTGCACATCTAATAAAGGATATTATTTTTGCAAGATCATATTTGGAATATATGCCAGCCTTATTAGTTTGTGATGTGGACTTAATGTTTAAGAGATAAGTTTATCAATCAAAATACTTCGAACTATAACTTTAAATCACAAATTTTATAAAAGCAATACTTAAATCTTTATGGGTATAGTTTTCAATTTCAAACCAGAGAGTCTGCATAATTAATTCAAGTTTTTTGTATTGAAATAGTTAACATTCTAATATGTTTTGAATATATATATATATACAGGTGCAAGTCGGTATATATCATATTATTCAGTACTCAAGATATTAAAATAATTAAAAGAAATCAAGATTGTCTACACGAAAACTTGAGGAAAATTTGATGAGAGATGCTATATTCGTACAACGACATAACAATACGAGACTACAGTCTTTTATCGCTAATGCTACCACTTGCATATAATGTGATTAGGTAAAATGATTATATAGAACTCTGAATTCATGTC